CTTCAAAGTAATGGGTGGAGCCCATGGGGCATCAGACTTCATGGAGCCCGAAACTATTGCAGATTCGGACCTCGGCCTCTTTGACCGAGTGGATTCAGACGGTTGGGCCTCGGCGGGTCCCTTCTCGGCAGCAGAAAGGGTTTTCTTGCTCGAAGCCAATTTGGAAATTGGCAAGGTGTCCTCAGTATCAATCAGAGTCACCGTTGCCTTTGGTTGAGCCTTTTTTTATTCTTTTTGGCTTTGACTTTGGTGGAGGCTGGGCTTGTGCTGGTTGAACGTCAACGTTAGTAGAGATGCTGGCTAAGAGGTCTTTAGCGACTGCTTTCTAGCGGCTCATCTCAGCAGCAAAAACAGTTCGTCGTCGGCGTCGGCGTTGATATGGTAGGATTAGTTGTGGAGCTGAAGTGGATGGCTGCCCTGCTGGATCTAAGGTTGATCCTTGATCTGGCCGACATGACGAGGCTGTTGGAGGAGTAGTGGTGGACGGAGGAGACTGACTCTTCTTCTTTTTCTTCTTCTTCTTCTTTGAAACGTCAGGAAGAACCGACTTGTAAGTGGGAATGAAGTTAAGTAACAGTGGGGCTCTCCACTTGTGGACTGGCAAATCCAATAGCTTTTTCAAGTCCTTGCTAAGGAAGAAAAACTGGCGAAAGCCCTTTGGTGGCTGAGGAAGAACTGCAAAAAGAAGAGCACAGACATTAGAACAAAGTATTGAAAACTTCAAAAAAGAGAGCAAGAAAAAGTGACATTTGGCCCTTACTATCTCCTTCCCCGAAAACTGTTTGGCTTAAGGGATAAAGGTAGAGGTCATCGTTGGGCTGAAACTCCCAGTTGCCCGAGACGATAAAGTAATGGTCTCCAGTGCCCTTGTTTGAGTCTGGAAGGTCGGCAATGAGCTTGTACTTAGTGGACCTCGGCTTGAGGTAATAGATATGGCCTTTTTCCCGATTTCAGGCGACACATAGTGTAACAGTACTGAAAATCGGCAAGAGTAACCCTAGCATTCTCTTGTTTGGCTAAGGCTATTGTACCGTTGATAACTCGGTAAGAATTGATGGCAAGTTGCATTGGGTTCAATTTATAGTAATTGAGGATTTCTCAGAAAAAAGTGTTAAGTGAAAACCTAAGCCCACACTCGATAAAGGCCACTACTGGAAAAGGCATGAGGTTCACATCGCGCATGATGGAGTCATCCTCCCCAGCCAACCTCAGATGAACGTCAGCTGGGATGTCAAACTCCTGCCTAAAGTGTTCTAACTTGGTCGGGGTATCTACCTTATACTTCCACATACCCATGATGTCGGCTTGAGGAGAAGGTGAAGGATTTCAGAAGAAAGTGTTTTGTAACGGTTTTTAAAGACCTCAGCTAAAACCTAAATGTGAGCTGGGGTAAGAATTTGTGGGAATCGTTTCAGTTTTTCTTAAAATTTGTGGGATCTACAAGCAAATCTCAAACCTAGATCTATGGAAACGAAGATTGAAGGCGCGAATCTAGAAAGGAAACAGAAAACATGAATGTAATTCAGAGTCAAGAACAGTGATGGATCATTCAGAAACACAAGACAAAAGTTTGTGCAGGTGTGTCAGGTTAAGAACAGTGGCAAAAATCAACAAGTGTGTGAACAGTGTGAATTCAAGAAACTGATGGGGAAAAAACAGAATCATGAGACAAACATGTAGTGGAAAACAAGATACAAGTTGAAATATCAAAGATATGAGCAGGATTACAGAGGCAGAGCAGTAGAGTTCAGTAAAGCAAAAAGAAACTGAAACAAGAAGTTAAATCAGGAAGAAACAGTAACTCACCGAAGAAAAGCTGAAGTTAAGTTCGCCGAAGTCAGACGAACGAAAGCGGCGGAAAAGACTAGCAAGGGCCTCGCCGGATGGGGTGAATAGCGGTGGTAGCAGAGCTTGAAAGCTTGGAACAATGGAGGATTTGAGAAAGTAAGAGAGAGAGAGAGAGTTTGAAAAAAAATGATGATAAGTGAAAAGACGAGGAGAGAGGAAACGAGTTTTGTCAAAAACTTGAAGAGGCGGCAAAATGCAATTAAATGTGCCTGGAACAACGTATCTGACGGACAGTGTACGCAGGCACGAGGCGATTTTATGGCACGTATTAAACACGGTCCAATAGGGTAGAAACGAATGGCAGAAACAGTTGGAATGTTGTTTGTGACAGCTCATGCGCGTGATAGAACTCTTGGAGTTCTTGGCTAAATAAAACAATGACTCGGCTGGTAGGAAAATCTCGGCTAAATAAACTCGAATAAACTTGGTTAAAAATTCTGAAGTCTTGATGAGATAAACTACAGGACCTGGTTGTGAGAAGCCGGTGTATTATGACCTCGGTAAATTTATGATACATCAAGATAGCCGACATGAACGATATAGGTTCCATCACCTCAGGATGCCGAGGTAATAGAACCTAGAGGGCAGTTGTGGGGGTATATTTTCTGAGTACCAACACGTGGCTAAGGTGACGCCGACGTGTCAGCCGAGATGCCACGTGTTCTAGTCGTGACGCCAAGGTTATCTCGAGTAGGCCGAGGTTATCTCCGAAGATATCGAAATCTGGGATAAGCGGATAAGGGACAAGAGTCCTAGAATGAGGAAGGACTTCAGCCTGGATAAGGATAAAGCTCTTAGGGAGTTTATCTTTATTTAATGAAGAGTCCAAGATAAGCACTGAAGTGAAGTCCATTGAAACTAGTCTTCTACTGGGACTGAGTTTGTATTGGCTATAAAAGAAAGGCACCCTCATGTGTCTAAGGTATGCAATTTAGAAAGGCACCCTCATGGGTCTAAGGTACGCAATTTATATTCTGAGCAGTGAGTTAAGCACTTGATTTATCTTTGAGAGATAACTGACTTGATCGTCGGAATGTCCCGGGTAGACGAACCACTGTCAGAATCTCTTCTTTTTGTGACAGGTCGTTCGGACTTAATCTATTCTGCTAATGTTTTCCAGCTGAGTGCTTGATTGGCAATGTAGTCGGAAATTGACACACACAGACAGAATAAGATATTGTATTGAGTAATTAAAGAACATAAGAAGACATATTAAGAGGTGTTTGGAAAGTTAGTAAAAAATTGATTTTTTGTCTTTTTGTGTGTAAATTATGTGAGATATAATATGACTTAAAATTGATAAAAAATTAAAAATTGACTTTTTATTAATTTCCAAAAAAACACTAATGATTGATTAAAACATATAAACACGTCATATTTTAAAAATATTAAATAATTTTTTTCAAATATGAGAAAATAACGTACAAAACTTGGATAAGGTAGGAACTCCAGGACCTGGTATGATCCAGACCAGACGACGAGACAACAAAACCAAGAAAGTCAAATTATTCTTTGCTTTGGGAGCTCTCTTTCTTGGACCGCATTATTATTATTATTATTCCATCAAAAAATTGAAATCTGAGAAAACGAATATATACAATTTAATTTATATGATTTATATACCCATATCTATGCTATGTTAGTACGTGGGATTCACGAGAGAGCTATCTCTTTCTCTCTCCCTCTGTCTCTCAAACTCACTTGAATCCGAATCGAGCAATGGTAGGTATCATGAAAAAATTTTCATGAAAATGATCATGAAAGATTTATGATTCTTGGATTACACTTAAAATAAAATACACACACTAATCAAGGTAATCTAAGGATTATAAATTTTTCATAACCAATTTCATAAAAGGTTTTTCATGATCCCTATCTTTTCTCATCCGAATCACCCAGTCCCAGTTTCAGCACTCCGATGAAAGCACAAAAGAAAAGAAAAAGAAAGAGAGAGAGAGAAGAAAGAGAACGTCACGTTATTCTAATGAACCCACTCCACACCCCTTGCCTCCCTCTCACGGCGACGAGAGCCTGCCGTCATCAAACGACAAATACCCATTTTATATATTTATTTATTTAAAAAACCAAAATGTATTATTTTCAAAAATAAAAATAAAATAAAAACCTTCATGAACGTCCTCTCGTGTTTCCTCCTGAGAAACCGTCGAGACAGAGTAACAGCTTTTTAAATTTGGACAAAATTCAGAATCCCCATGCCATTTGTTTTTTTATCAATAATTTTTTTACCATAGGAAAAAGCACATATATTATTTGTAAATTAAAAACTTAATATGTTCGGCAAAAATTATTTGAAAATATTATAATTCAGTGTAATTTATATATAAAAAAAAGACAATAAATTTATAAATATTAATAAGAAATTTGATCTAATCATCCAATCACAATGATTCAGATAATTGAGTTAAAATAATTTCAAAATCAAGATAAAAGCGTATATATCTTCTATTTTAATTTACCTTATTCTATTATTATTATTATTTTATCTACATAACCTTAATGTTTATAATTTAATTTAAATTTCACATTAAATTGTTGTTTTGTTTTATTATTATTATTATTTTTTGGTAATATTTTTCTACATATAAATTTTCTCCTTTCATGGAGATGTTTGAAAATTTGTTATCAAACCTAAGTAAAAGCTCTCATGATCCCTTTTAAAATACGTATTTGTAGTCCAATACATTTTATTAGACAAACTTAATTTTCTCCTGTGCATTGTAATAAATAAATAAATAAATTTGTTGATTCCATTTAAATTAGAGTCAAATTTTGTACAACTCCTTGTTTTTTTTGGGGGGTGCTCCGGAAAGGAATACAACTCCTAATTTGACTGAAAATCAAGAGTTTTAACATTAATTTGCATGAAACAGCCAAATTAGAATTAAATTAAAAGTCAAGAAATAATAAAAACCAAACTTCAATTTAACTCCAACCACAACCATTAAAAGTGTAATTTATCTTAAATTTTTTTTATCTCTAAAATCTCCAACTATTTATTTATGTAACAAAAATTTTGCATTTAGATCAGATATAGTTTAATAACTGTGTGTACAGCTAATAAATTCAAGAACAGAGTATCATTGTAATTTTTTTTCAGTAACAAATTATCATCATCTGTTATTATTATATTGTTTTCAGAGGGGCTAAACTACAATGAAGATAGATTGATCATAGATTTTACCTCTTACATTACCCTTTGCAAGCAAAAAACGAAGAAGGGAGCAAAACAAGGATTGTACGCTTATCCAAAACTCTGCTTATATATACTATTTTCATATTTTATATATATAATTTTTTTGTACCTGAAGAAAAAAAAAATTCCAAAATTTTTTAAGGTCTCTCTCTGAGAAGAGAAGCTAATCCAGTAACGATCTTGGCTCCTCTCTCGCAGCTCTTCGGTTTGATCGCCGGAGGCTGCCACGTGGACGCCACCGCTACCGCCATCGGCTTCTTTTCCTTGCCGGAAGTAGTCACCGGCGATGAGGACTCGGTCACGGAGAAATCCACCGACGACGACGAAAACGACGACGTTTTCTCGCCAAAAATCAGTTCCAACTCTCCGCAGTCGCTATCCGTTGTTGCCAAACAAGGAATGTTCTCGGTCGGAGTGTCGGTATCGTCGTTCGGTGGTGGTGCGGTGGCGGTGGCGGTGGTGGTTCTGGTGTGAGGAGAGAGCCATTTGGCTCTCATGTACTCGGCCTTCCTCCATGGAGGGATGTGCATTCCTTTCTTCTTCAGGCTCTGTCTCGAGGCCTCCGATACGATCGAAACGATTTGCTGAAGACGATCGGCTCGGCCGACGAAAATGTGCGGCAGAGTTTGGAGGATTGCTTTGTAGCCTCCGGTTGATCGAGCTATCTCGAACTCGGATCTGAAATCTATGTCTATCAACACTCTCTCTCCATCCACAATCACATCTATGTACTCATATTCACCTGAATAAATAAATTATACACAAAATCAGACGATGATCGAAACGAAATCTATCGGATATACATATATATTTACACGAGAGAGAGAGGACTTACCGGCTGGATATGAGGAAGATTTTTCCCATCGCGATTTGCAGATTGAAGCATCGTAACCGAGAAGGAACAGTCCGTCTGTGACAATTTTTCTTAGATCATCCTTTGGCTTGCAAGTTTTGTTCTTCTCCACGGTCTTCGAAGTGTCTGCTAAGAGATTTCTCTCCGCAAGACTCGCGCACGGAATCAGAGTCTACAGAAACAAATAAGCTTCTCAGTTCATCCTCATTGCACACTTGAATTTGTTAGGAAAAGTGTTAGATTTAAGCAAACATTTACCTTGAGTATATCGACAGAATCACCAGACCAAGAGGTTGGAATTGAGTCTCCAAAGCCACTAGAGATATCAAATTCGTCATCGGAGCTGTCATTGCTGTTTCCATTGAAGCAATTGCAGCGATTGCGGCCACATTTGACAGCTGATTGCTTCTCGTTAGTCTCCTCGATGAAATTCTGCACCATTTTCGCCAAGCACACAGAGCTCGGCTCGAACTCGGCCCCTCCATCTTTGTCGTACTGCGGTTCTCCGGCTGCCGGCTTCTCCGTCGACGAAATCTTCAGTACGCTAGGGAATTGCCGATCGAAGAGCCTCTTGAGGCGCGATTTCAACACAGGCTTGACCGACTCGTTACGGATCGATTCTCCGAACGCCTCAGAATCGAGAGGTTGAATCCTCATCGGGAAAGGCATGCTATGTCTATCAATTAATTAGGCTCGTTTCTGTCTCCCTTTATTCTAAACAGAGCTATAATTGTTCTGAGAACCGCCTAATTATACGCTTCAGAACTCCATTTTCTCAGAGCTATTAAAAGTCAGTGACTAATCAAAATTCAAAACTGTAGCTAAAATCAATGACTCTTCACGAAATCAAAATGCTTAATGAGGTTAGGTTGAACAAATTCACCTCAACAATTAACACAATTTCAGATCATCCGATCATCATGACCAATAGTGTCTCATCAGATCACACATAGATCAATCTAAAAAGCAAAACAAATTCTGAACAAAATGAGGTACCTTTCTCTCTCGTGTAGAAAAAGGATCGAATAACTTCGAAACTCAATTGATATGTGTTCTCGATTAGTGTCTTTCGTGAAAGACGTGACGGCGGTGGAAGGAGACGAGAACAATGCGAGTTCCAAAAGATGAGGTGGTCGCCGGAATATTCATTTTCCGGTTGCAGGTGGTGAGAGAAGGAGACGTCTGGTCTGATTAAAGTTCCGTGGTTTTTGGCTCCTTGTGAAGTAAAAATGATGGAGTGAGTGTGAGTGGGAAAGGGGGGTTTTTATAGGTGAGGTGAAGCCGGTTTGTTGCTGACTAGGACTAGTATGCCACGTGGACTATGACATGGCGTGGCTAATCATCGGATTTAAGAATTAGGATCCTCCCCTTACATTCTATCTTATTCTTCATATTTGTAATAGTAGAGATATATTTTAAGGTAATTTAATAGTTTAGATCTAGTTATTTTTTTAAATTTTTTTTTGAATATCTCCAGATCTAGGTCGTTGAATTATTTTAAAGTGCAACTTCACCTTTGCAAGGAGGAAGATAATGAGAGAATGCAAGTGAGGAATCTGGTCTCCGAATTTAGGGTGTTCACGTGGCAATGATCGCAAGGAGGTGGGTCTTCGGGAAGCGATGATGGAAGGACACGTGTCGAAGGGTGGAATCGTGGGGTTACTGATTGGAGGAGTGGTAGTTTAAATTACGTGAATGCCCCTTTATTTTTGTGGAGCGTTGGGGTATATGCCCCTCTCATATTGCGGAAATATCGAAAACGGTCCATTGATTGTGCAGGGCCCGAAATTTAAAATTGAATTGTGGTTAGACCTATTTGAAAGTGGTTCAAACTGTAATAATAATTTTTTTTAAATACAAAAAATTAATAATGTGTTATTCAAATTTTTGTGTGTAAATTATTATATTTTTGTATATATGTAATATTATTACTGTGTTTAAGATTTGAAGATTAACTTATATAATTTTAATGAGCAATGGTAAAGGGCCACAAAATTAACTTATATAATTTTAAAGATTAACTTATACGACGTCGTTTTGGCAGTTTTGAGCCATTTGAGCCACTGTTTTTGTGGCCCTCAAACATTTTTCAATTTTAATTTTGTTTTTGTGTGGTGAAAATGATTTGAAAAATTATGCAAATGGTTTTCGTGCAATGATATTGGTTCACTATATTTTCATGGGTTACCACACTCATGATCTTTCACTTTGTATAAGAGGATAAAATTCAATATCAAGTTCAACATGAGAGCATAATGACATTTTATTAATTAAATTAGTTGATGCTTTGAAAAATTTTGTATACAATTTTTTGGTCCTACTATGGAGTTATTTATCCCGAATGATAAAATGCATAACTATTTTAACTATAAATTAATATTGTATTTGGTTAGAAGATTTAAAGAGAAATTTAAAAAGAGAAATAAAAAAAAAGTAGTCTAAATATGAATAAAATATACTTATATTTTACATAATTCCACACACATATTTCTTTCCTCTTTCCAAATTCCTCTCCAAATATTCCAACTAAACATAACGGAAGAGAAAAAAGTTGTTGATCTTGTTTGGTTTAACTCTTAAAACACAATTTTTGAAAAAAAAAATTAAAATTACTTTCTCTTTCCTGCACATCAATCACTCACTTTTTCTCTTTTTATCTTTTTCTCTCTCATACACATTTATTCAACTACAACAAAATATTAAATTATCCCAAACTCTCATACTCCAAAACTATTTCCAAAATATACAACTAAACAAATCAAAAAAAATTCTAAACTCTTTCTCTAAAATTTTTTTTAACAAAATTTATCTCCCAAAATCAAATTAAACACATCCGTCATGTTTTCATTTACTTTTATGTTTTATTGGGATAGTAATGCATTGGTTATTGAAATAAGTGATGGGCACCGCAAACTTCATAAAAATTTTATTACTTGTATAAGTTGTAGGAAATTATAATAAATAAATGAAGTTTGCATTTGGTCCTTACAAATTTATATGCTCTCAAATTTACTTTGACCCACTAAATTTCATAAAAATCCATTTATTCCATAGAAATAGTATTTTGATTTTAAAATTTATATTATCTTGCATTGACTTATTCAAAATCTAAATAATTTAAAGTGGCTACTATTTATAAATTTTTTTAGTAAGTAATTAGTCAAATGACATATGACATATCCTAACTAACTTTTCATTATTTATAGTCTAATTTAAACAATAATGTTAAACTTATAAGATATATCAAGTAAATTATTTACATAAAAGATGTAATTAATCAAATATCAATAATGTAATGAGTTAATCTTGTTTAAGATGAGTTTAAATAAATCCAGCAATAAAGCACAAGAAACCCCCATCTCCAATTATTTGAAACAAAAGTGAGGACCGTTTTTATCTCAACTTATGTGCTCAATTTTTCCGGACTTGGATGATAAATTTCGAAATTAACCCTGCGATGTGTGTTTGGTCGTCCACTAAATATTTTATGAATTATTACTAGCGGATAAGGTCGAAATTAAAGTCTTGATATTACGTTCGTTTTTGTTTTTGTTTTTTTTTTTTTGGGAATTGATGTTGCTGTGACAGAATTGTCCATACGCTACTTACTCGGACTGTATTTAATACTAATACTCATCTCTTGCTTGCTGGTAATTCCTACCATTTGCTTTAGCTTGGAAAACCATGCAGTGGTGTTTGTGAAGATACTATTTTACTAATTTATTTTAGCTTTTAATTATTTTAATAGGTTAAAATTTTTATATTTGAAAAGATGATTGATTTTTTTTTTATATAGTTAAATGTGATATTTGTGAGAAAAAAATAAAAAATTATGAATTTGATATGATATTTTATGTTATTAATTATTTTTATTTTTTTAATAAATTTTAGCCTAAAATAAGTCACTTCTTCCGTCTCAAAATATTAGTGTTTTATTCCGTTTTTTATTGTTTCAAAATATTAGTCACTCTTCAAAAATCAAGTATAAAAATAATATAAATTTCTTATTTTACCATTTTTTAAAATTCATAAATAATATAAAAAGTACAATTATGACATTTATATTTTCTAAAAAATATACTATCAAAAGATAATTTTAAAAAATTAATTTTTTTTAAAATACAATAATTATATTCAAAAAAATTGAATTCCCTAAAAAAGATCATTTGGACAGAAGGAATGATGATAGAGACCACTAATTTTGAAACTTTAAAAAGATGACTAATGACATGACACTCAATAAAAAAAAATACAATATCAAGACCAAAATATCAAATCATTTATAATAAAATCTATTATTATATTATTAATGGTAACACCAATTAACACGATCACTCATTTTTTTGGAGGGAAGGAGTAAAAGTTTTCCTGACAAACACCCCAGAAGAAGAGAAGAGGAGGAACGGGTGTGGATAAAAGGACTCTTGTCAATCACGTTGCTTTCGAACTTAACTGGGTATCCGGACAGGTGTCCGTTAGGACCATCTGGGTTCTGCTTTCTCTGCGTCACCCATAAGTTCTCTCCTTGAAATTAAATGCACTTCACATTTATCATTTTTATGTTAATTTTTTAAATTACGATTCCGTTTCTTTCCATATAAAATATTTTATACAAAAAAAAAATTGTAAAATAATTTTACACAGAAAAATATTTTTATTTTTTGGTATTTAATTGACACTTAAGATAAAAATATTTTATTACCTAAAAAATAAATTTCAATTTAATAAAATTTCATTTATGACTTCTTAGTGAGTGAATATATTTATTTGAAAAAAGCTAAATGTGTTAAAAAAGTAGTAAATAAGAGTCAATTTTATAAAAATTAACTTATAAAATTTTTAAAAATAAGTTATTTTTGAGAAAATAATGTAAAATATTTTTTTATTTTACGTTGAAACAAACAAAACCTATATGTATTTGCTTCAAAAATATCAAATAGTCCCTCTTCTCCATCTCTTGGGTTAGGATTTATTTTTATGCTCCGTTTGCTTGAAAGTTTGGATTTGTTAAAGTTAAATATCTTTATTTTGGTGAAGTTGACTCATTATCGAATAAATTTGGATTCGTTTCGGTGATCTAACCGTTTATCTTATATGACTAATTAAGAAAATTATTTATGTAAAAATTCAAGTTGATCTAATATTGAATGTTATACTATTAGATCATTTTTACCTATACAACCTATATATTTTTAAGAATATATTATACATCTTTATAATATATATACAATTTGATCATATGATTAGTTATGTTTGATCAATCTATACATGTTTATCTTAGTTTGTCACATGAGATGAATGATGCTGATCATTAATATGAGAACATAGTAGTTCTATTAATATGCCAACTTCACATGTAAAGTTGAGATCAAATCCAAACTCTTTGTTTGAGGGGAAAATATTTTTTGAATTTTTTTTTCCTGTATTTTTTAGTGTTGGGGTAATGAAAAATGAAAGTTAACAGAAAATATTTTTAATACTCAATTGAAAACAATCATATTTAAGAATAAAATATTTTTTACTTTTAAAAGGCAAAAACATTTTTCAAACTAAAGTTTTACTAATATTACTACACTATCACCGTCACTTTCATCTACACCATCACAACATCATCACTGTTGCCATCACCTCTACCGCCATCCCACCACCATGTCATCACTACCACCATCACTAAACATGAAAAACGATTTTCTTAAAGAAAAAAAATATTGTAAAAAATGTTTTCTAATTAAAAAATATTATTCATCTAAATAAACAGATGCCTATTTTTGAAACATAGCTAAAAGTTAATTTTTTGACTTTTTAATTTTTAAATCACATCAATTCTTTATTTTTTATTTTTTATTTTTTAAAAGTCAAAAAAAATAAAAAATTAATTTTTAACTTGTTATGGCTAAAATAGCCTATTTTGTTTTTTGTGGCTAAAATAGCCAAAAAAGCCTGAAAACTAACTTGCCAAACAGAGGCTAAAAAATGTTTTCTAATTAAAAAATATTATTCATCTAAATAAACAGATGCCTATTTTTGAAACATAGCTAAAAGTTAATTTTTTGACTTTTTAATTTTTAAATCACATCAATTCTCTATTTTTTATTTTTTTTTTAAAAGTCAAAAAAAATAAAAAATTAATTTTTAACCTACTTTCTAAAACAACTAGAATGTTAAAAACTATTGCAAATAAACTTTTTTTTTTTTTTTTTGCAAAGAACATTAATCATTATCTAAAATTTCATTTTGTTTATTTT